TTTTTATTACTATAGCTTTGTAATTTAATTTGAAATCAGAAAGCATGACACTTCCAAGTTTCTTCTTTTTTGGCAGAACTGAGGATTGAACTCAGGCCCTTGCACTTGCCAGGCAAGCACTTATTCTACTGAGCTATCTCTCTGGCCCAAGTTTGTTCTTCTTATTTAAGATTCCTACAACTTACTTATGATCTTTATGTGTCTGTGAAAGCTTTCCAATTTTTTATTGTTATGAAAAGACCACTGGAATTTTGATATAAATTTCATCAAATATATAGATTGAGAAATATGTAAATTTTGGAAATGTTGAAAATCAATACTGATTATTCCAATTCATCAACACAGATATCTCCTTTAATTTTTTAATCAACATTTTATAACTTTAAGTATACAGTTCTTTAGCATCCTGGTTAAATTTATTCCTAAGTATTTTAAGCTTTTCTATGCTATTATGAATGGAATTGTTTCACCAATTTCTTTTTGTAGAAAGTTCCTTCTTCTATTTTTCTTTCTTTGTATTTTATTTTTGTCTTTTTGGGACAAGAATTTTGCTATCCAGTTCAGGCTGGCCTTGCCCTGAACTCACTTCATAGCCCAGACTGTCCTCAAACTCTCAGTGACCCTCACACCTCATAGGAAGTTCATTTGATGGTGTGTGTATGTGTGTGTGTGTGTGTGTGTGTGTGTGTGTGTGTTGTTCATATTTGGATTGTGAATTCTTTTGTGTTGTTTATTATTTCTGAATGACTTTTTGTTGGAGCTTTTAGGGGTTTTCTTTATATATAAGATGAGACAATCTGAAAACAGAGAAAATTTAATTTATTCCTATTTGATTAGCATACTTTTTATTTATTTCTTTTTTTCTTACCTAATTTCTTTGGGCATGACTTCTAGTAGCATATTGAATACAGGTAGCAGAAATGGCATCCTTACTTTGTTCCCAATCTTAAAGGAAGGGCATTTGGTTTTTAGAGCATGATGTGTTAGCTGTGAGCTTTTCATATCAAGGCCTTTATATGTTGTGGTACATTCTTTCTATGCCTAGTTTGTTCAGAATTTTTTTTATCATGAAGTGATATTGAATCTTATCAAATATTTTTTCAGCATGTATTAAAATGGTGATATTATTTTTATTTTCATTACAGTAAAGTAGTATATCACATTAATTGATTTGTTGATTTGCTTATGTTAAACCATCATTGTCTGTGAAGGATAAATCATACTTTATTGAGTATATGATCCTTTTAAGCCACTGTCAAATTCAGCACGCTAGTATTCTATTGAAGGTTTTTACATCTGTGTCCTCCAGGGACATCAGCTTATGATTTTCTCTTTCTGTAGCCTCCTCTTCTGCCATTGATATCAAGGTCATTTTGGCTCTGTAAAATGTTTTCTGTTTTAAGGAAAGAAAGCAAACATTAAAAATAATATAGAATTTCCAAACAAGATTATAGGAAATTAATAATGGTTATTACATTGCATAGTTATCTTCATAGCATAAACACTGTTTTAATGAAGTAATAGAAATCAGTAATACAATTATTTTAGCTATTATACATATATATAAATATAGCCCTTAAAATTTATTTTTTATTTTCCCATCATTGCCCCATCCCAGTTATTCTTTCCTTTTGAGCAGTTTCTTTCCCTTTCACTATATTTATATCTATTATATCTTACAGATCTTATTTAAAATTTCAATTTCTTACACTATGGAGATAATTAGATGCTTATACATGCAAGTCTGATTTATTTCACTTATGAGTATGGTCTCTAGGTACATCCATTTACCTACAAAAGCCTCAAGCTTGTCTTTCTTTATAGTTGAGTAGTATACCACTGTATAACACCACTTTTTTTAAATCCATTCCTTGATTGCTGGACATTTATGTTCTTTCCAAGATTTAGCTATGACAAATTTTGCTGCTATAAACATGGGTGCACATATATTGCCATGGTATGATGTTCTCAATTATTCTGGAAAGATACCCACAGGAGGAATAGCTGGTTGAATGAAACCTCTAGTCCTAGTTTTTCTGAGGAATCTCAACACTGCAGTCCACAATGGTTTCACCAATCTGCACTCCCACCAGCAATGCAGAAAGATTCCTTTTTCTTGATAGCCCCACCAGCATTTTTTATTGGTTGATTTCTTGATGATAGCTATTCTTTCTGGATTAAGATGAAATCTCAGCATTGTTTTAATTTGCACTTCTGAAATGACCAATGATGTTGAACATATTTTCATGTATTTATTTGCCATTTGTATTAATTCATCTGAGAAGTATATATTCATCTGAGATGTCCGTTTTTGGATTGGGTCTTTGAATTTTGAGGGCCTGATATTTAAAATTCTTTGTTTGTGTGTGTGTGTGTGTGTGTGTGTGTGTGTGTGTAGGGTCTCACTATGCAGCTTGGACTCATAGTGATCCTCCTGATTTTGGCTTCCGTAGTGAGATTACAGGTGTGTACTACTACGCCTGGATTTAAAATTCTTTGTATGTTCTAGATAGAACTCATTTTTCTCAGGTACAGTTGGCTAATATTTTTCCCCAATTCATGGGTTTTCTTTTTACTCTGTTGGTTATTTCTTTTGACATACAGAATCTTTGGCATGTGGAGAGCCAGTTTTTCCAGCACCATTTATTAAAGAGGCTATATTTCTTCCAGTGAACATGTTTGACCCCTTTGTCAAAGGTGGATGAGTGTGTTTGTAGTTGTCTTTACATCTTCTAATCTGTCCCACTGATTCTCAGGTCTGGTTTCTTGCCAGTACCATTCTGATTTTATCACAGTAAATTTGTGTGTAATTTCAAGTCAGAGATTGTATTACCTCCTGTCTTTCCATTGTTGCCCAGGATTGCTTTTGCTATCCTAGGTCTCTTCTGGTTCCAGATGAATTTTAGGAATGTCTTCTCTAGATACATGAGGTATACTAATGTTATTTTAATCACAATTGAATTGAATCTGCTTAACAATTTTGGGAGTATCAACATTTTTCCAATGTTGTTTTTTTTTTTCTATCTATGAGAAAGAAATATCTTTCCATTTTCTGAAATTCTGTTTCATGTCTTTTTCAGAATACTGTAATTTTCACTGTATAGATCTTTAACTTTCTTTGTTAGATTGATTCCTAAGTATTTCACTTTTTGAATGCTATTGTGAAGGGTCTGGATTTCCTAATTTCTCTATCAGTGAGTTTGTTATTTGTGTACAGTAAGACTATCGATCTTTGAGTGTTAACTTTGTATCCAGCAATGCTACTGAATTTCATTATTAAAGCACTAGAAGTGTTCTGGTGGAGTTTTTGGAACCTTGTATGTAGATACCTTCATGTCATCTGTGAATAATGATAATTATTTTTTCCTTTGCTATCCTTATTCCTTTATTTTCTCTCTTGTCTACTTACTCTGGCTAATGTTTCCAGAACTATATTGAAAAGGTGTGATTATAGTAAACATCCTTGTCTTGTCCCTGATTTTGAAGTGAAAGCTTTCATTTTTTGTCCATTTAGTATGATGGTGGCTATTGGTTTGTCATAGATGGATTTTATCCAGTTGAAGTAAAGACCTTCTACTCTGATTTTCTGTAGGGTGTTTATCATGATTGTCTATGTTGGACATTGTCAAATGCTATTTTTTTTTAAATCGATTGAGATGAGCATGCATTTTTTGTCTTTGGCTCTGTTAATACAATGTATTACATGTATTGATTTACATATGTTAAACCATTCCTTCATCCCTGGGATGAACCCTATTTGGCCATACTGTATAATGTTCTAGATTATTTTCTGCATTCTGTTTGCTTGTTTTCTACTGAAGATTTTTGTGTCTATGTTTGTTAGGGAGATTAGGGAGATTGTAGTATTCTTTTCTGATTAGGTCTTTCTCTGGTTTTCATAACAGAGTAATACTTACCAACAAAGAAAAGCCCAGGTTCTGATGGATTCACAGCTGAATTCTCCAAGAAATTTAGGGAAGATTTGATGTGAATGCTCCTTGAAATCAGTAATAAAATTGAAAGGGAAGCATTTCTCCCTAATTCATTCCTGTTTTTTTTTTTTGTTTGTTTGTTTGTTTGTTTTTTTTTTTTATGAAAGGGGCTCTTTTTTTAGGTTTTTTTTTTTTTTACTTCTGATTCAATATCACTACCCATTAATATTTGGTTTTCTGTATTTTAAAGAAATTCCTAAGTTTAATTATAAACCTAGGATTTTGCACTTAGATATGATGTTGGCTCATGTTCTGAAATGACTTAATTGTGTTAAAAAATTGCTCACTTTTTCTTATTTTATAGAAGAGCTGTTTCTTCTTTTTCTTTTCTGCCTTTCTTTGTTTTGCCATCTTTTCCTTTATCCCTTCTTTTTCTTCTGGTATGGATGATAACTGTCATGAAATCTTTTTTTTTAATAAATCGAGATAACACTCTGACTTTCTCACTCTGATCTATTGAATGAATTGCTGAAAAAAAGATTTACTAATAGTTTGTACATAGTCATTCTTTTAATTAATTAATTAATTTGCTTATTTATTTATTTGGTACAAGGTCTCACCACCCAGTTCAAACTCATAGTGATCTTCCTGTTTCAGCCTCCCCATCACTGGGATTACCAGTGTGCACCATTACGCCCAGTTTTGGTGACCAGCCAGCATGGCATGCAGTACAAGAGGTCCTACTTGGATCTTTGTGCTTGCCTGGCAGGCGCTTGGACTGCCGAGCTATCTCTCCAGCCCCCACTTTTCATTCTGGCATCAAATTCTATGTTTATCTTTTAATTTCCTTCTGGATTATATTTTCTAATATAAAATTCAGAAGCTATATTTGTAAGATATATTTATAGGTTTTACTGGGATATATTTGATAGATTTTGCTTTCTAAGTCATCTAACTTCAAAAAGTAAATTCTGAATTGGGGGCCGCCGGGGGCGTGGCATCCTCCTTCTCTCCACTCGGGGCAGAGACCGAGGCCGCCACACCAGACTGCCTGGAGAGCAGCTGCTCTTTGGCATAAATTGCAATCGATTAGGGATCGGTTCTCAGACTCAAGTTAGAAGTGAGATTTCAGATAAGTGAGGCCAGCGTTGCTGCTTTGGACACCTCAGAAGGAGAGAATGGATTTATCAGGAGTGAAAAAGAAGGGCTTGCTAGGAGTCAAAGAAAATACTAAAAAGTCCAGCACTAGGGCTCCTTCTCCTACCAAACGAAAGGACCGCTCTGATGAGAAGTCCAAAGATGGCTCTAAAGACAAAGGGGCCACCAAGGAGTCTCGTGAGAAGGACTGCGGCAGGGATAAGACCCAGAGGAGGCGCAGTGCTTCCAGCGGAAGCAGCAGCACCAGGTTTCGGTCAAGCTCGACTTCTAGCTCAGGCTCTAGTACCAGCGCAGGCTCGAGCACCGGCCCCAGTTCCTCTTGGCATCCAGCCATTCTGGAAGCTCCAGTGCACCTCGAAGTTCCAGCTCCAGCAGCTGCTGTGGTTCTCCAGGCCCTTCTCGGTGCACACATGACAAGGCGGCGCTCCCCCTCCAAATCCAAACCACCTAAAGAGATAGAAAAGAGGAAAAGGCGAAGCCCTTCCCCTAAACCCACCTCAGTGCACATTGGGAGGCTTACCGGGAATGTGACTAAGGACCACATCATGGAGATATTGTCCACCTATGGGAAGATTAAATGATTGAAATGCCTGTAGAAAAGTTGCATCTTCATCTATCCAAAGGCTATGCATATGTGGGGTTTGAGAATCCAGACGAAGCTGAGAAAGCACTGAAGCAAATGGATGGAGGACAACTTGATCGGGAGATCCCTGCTATTGTTGTGCTGGCTCCCCGGCCTAGGCCACTGCCCTGATGGTTCAGCCCTCCCAGGAGAATGCTGCCACCACCTCTTATGTGGCGCAGGTCACCCCCACAGATGAGGAGAGGGTCATGCTCCCCAAGATGCAGGTCCCCTGTACGCAGGCGGCCCCCGTTCTCCTGGCCGCTGCCACCAGAGGAGCTGCTCTAGCTCCAATTCTTCCCAGTAAGACGCTCATCCCTGTAACTTATATCTCACTCAGCTCAGTTTTGTCACTTCTATAGCCTAAAGTGGATCCCTAACTCGGGCAGACTTCAAGGGCAGCAATGGAAACACTTGGTCTTAAGGCGGGTTCTGGCTGCAGAAGTGCTGTTGGTTTAGGTCTGTGGCCATAAAAGCACCCCACAGTTTCTGTCTAGGAAGTCCACCCATTCCCACCCATCTTCTGAGAGTCTGTTCAGTGGCAGGTCCTGTAGGAATGAGCAAGCCTCCAGGTGGCAGAGTGCCCCATCCTTTCCAGATGATTTTGGGACTGTTTGCAGTCTGGCCACACCTTGGGGACCAATCTCCCATCTCACTAGGCCTGACCCTTTGGTTCCTGCTTGAGTCCTCCAGCACCTAGGATCAAATACCCAGAGAGAGAACACCCTCCCTTTTAGTTGCCATAAATGGTTCTGTCTTTTCATATTCTCACCTCCATCCCTACCCCATTTGTCTCCTTTACTCTGAAATGTTGAGGAGCAGTTTGAGGACCAGCTTTGCAGATCATCATGAGCCACCCCCGCTTCACCTGCTATTCAATGATGATCTTGCAGGTTATCTTGCAACATGTATATTGCTTTTTGTGACTTTTATTGTATAGTCAGTGCTATAAAACTTGAGTTTTGTAGCTTCATAGTATTTTAGATAAGATTGTGTTTGTACTTTGTCATATAGAGTAAAGGAATTGAATAAACCTAGAATTAGAATGTGAAAATTTAAAAAAATAAATTCTGCGGCTTCTTATTGTCAAGCTTAAAACACATTGTCTCACAGTAGTAGACTTATTAAAATTCACTACTTAAACATATGAGCCTTACAGTTTTAATGGTAGATTTTGTTTGTTTCTTGGCAAAATTTCTCCCATTTACTTCCTGGTAGTTTTTTTTGTTTGTTTGTTTTGTTTTGGGGTTTGTTTTGTTTTGTTTAATTTAAGGTATTTGGTACAAGGTCTCACTGCACAGCTTGGACTTAGTGGTCCTCCTGTTTTCAGCCGCCCCAAAGCTAGGATTACAGGTATGCACCACCATACCCAGTCTCAAATTTTTGGTATTTTTGAATCAATTCTTGTAATTTATATTTTCCTGATAAAAATTACATATCTCCTCAAAATTTATAAGATTGGCATAAATTTTTAGCTAAAATTCTCTTATAATATTAAGATTTATTTATCTATAACATCTCTCCATATTTTAAATCACTCATTTTCTCTCTTTTCATTAGACTAATCAGGTGTTTGTGTGCCCATTGATCTTTCTAGCATCTCAGATTTTTAATTTAGCATTTAATTTTACTTTATTAAGTTTTCTAATTTGCTGAAAAAGTTCATTCCTTCTCTCAGCCTACATTGTTTTATATTGTTTCCTTAGCTTCTTTGATTAAACCTTAGTTATTTTTATTTTCTGTTTAATTTCAAAAGCATTTAGAGATACATTTTCCCCTGAAAATATTTTTGGATGCTTTTCATGTTTTTATATGTAGTATCTTCACATCATTCTTTTTTTTTTTTTTTTTTTGGTGGAACCGGGGATTGAACTCAGACCCTTGCGTTTGCCAGAGAAGCGCTTATTCCACTGAGCCATCTCCCTGGCCCTCATCATTAATTTTTAATGTTTTACAATTGTCATTTTTTGTTTCTCCTGGCCTCAAAAGTTATTTAGAAGAGAGATAAGTAGGAAGTGGGGAGAAGCTCAAATACTTCCCCAAATTGCATATTACACTGTCTTAAAAATATTTCAACCTATATGCTAATTTGTTTCGTTTGTAATAATAGTTACCTTATTTCACTGAAAAAGGTGTGCATTATTGCCTATTTCTTTTCTGTGAGAATCTTTTTGGTTTATATCTTGCACCGAGTAACTACTTTGATGATAATGATACATAGGGTGATAATTGTTGTTACTCTCCTATTATTTGATTATGAAACATTGTTTTACTTTTCCATAAAAATCAAAAGAAAAAAGAAATTTAGAATAGCCAAGTATGGTTTCTCAAACAGAAAGTTAAATTCGTATCACATTTTTTTCTTTGTATTTTAGGGAAGGGTCTACAGGGTGTTCAGGGTCTCACTACTAGATGGGACTTGTAGTGATCTGCCTTTTTACAGCCTCCCAAGAGCTGGGATTACAGGCATAGGCCACCATGCCCAGTCTCAAGTGCTGTCTCAGTGCACCCCGGGTGTGGGGCCAGCACAGCAGGCCCTGGGATTGAACCCCCAGCCTCTGCACCTGCTTGCAGGCACTTTAATCCACTAAGCTATCACTGTCTTTTTCCTGTTCTCCAAAAACACTTTCATGGATGAGAGACAGTACTTTGGAGAAGTGATCTAAGCTCAACCCATCTTCCTGCCCACACGAACATTTTCCCTCAGTGTTGTTAGCTCTAGTACTAGGACCCCACTAATAAAATAAGGCAGTTTCATGAAAAAAAAAAAAAAAAAAGGATGGTAGCTCCTTACCACACCAAGACTGAACTCCAATGCATGTCACTTGTCACATGCAGTGAGTAAAGGCAAGCAAACACTTTGGAAGAAGTAAAAAAATAATAATAAATTATACTAGAACTATATATAGCAATCACTAAAAATACCTTGATCGCATAACCTGATCACAATGCTAAGCAATTCTACTGTGCATATTGGAAATCAAACCTTAAAATAGAAAACTATGGATAATTATTGCAGTTAATTTTTTTTCCACATTGAGCTATATATTAAAGGAACCAAGAAAGCACACTGTAAGTATGGTAAAACTCTTCAGAGGGGTTGCTTCTGGAATGCATTCATTCACTAGTACGTGTTTGTGGCCCATGCTGCTTATGTTCCTCATGTGGACTTGGTACACCCACAAAGCTCACTTTGATTCCTTTTCCCCTCCCTTCCCCCTCCTCTCCCACCTTGTCTCTTGATCCCCTTCCATATGAGAATGATCTCCCTACTTGTTATCTATCTTTCATTTTGCTCTTTTTTTTTTTGCATTTCTCATATAAGAGAAACCATACAATATTTAAGCTTGTGTGTCTTATGTGTTTTACTTAATAAGCACTTATTAAATTCTCTGTTTATTTACTTTTTCCTAGGACAGACCATGTTCTCAGTAGACATGTAAATTTATAGGAGCTCTTTCCCCAGGGAATCTCTGATAAATTTTACTGCTACTCTGCAATTCATCTTCAAATTTTTTTTTCTTATCAGTCTGTGCTATTTCTCTAGTCAGAGCATATTCTGGGAAATTTGAAAATTCACTTGAGTCCATGAACTCCTCTTGCTCTTCTTACATTGCTATCTTGTTAGAGACATAGTTTTGCTTAGCACTGAGTAGTTTAAAAGCAAAAAGAAGTGGGGAAAAAGATCAGCAGGTTACTGTTACTCTTGTAGCATTTGAGTGTTATGATGGTAAGAACAACAGTATCAAAAAATGATAAAGCAGTATGTTATAGGATGAGATTGCATGCTTTCCTTGTGTTGCTAGCCAGTGCTAACATCAGTTAAGGAGCTACTGATTTCAAGTAACTTTCACAAAACCAGCTCTAGAATTCAAACTAAAAACTTTCTTCTTAGACAAGGTGTTTGTATAGGACTAAGAATCTCTGAGTTTTGATATCAGACAGTTCAAGATTTGAAATCTGCTTCCTGTTAGCTTTATGATATTCTTCAGGCCGTAATGTTAGTACTGTTGCTAACAATAAAAATGAGAATAGTGAGAATAATGTGCCTATATGCTGAGCAGTGTTTTGGGGGTTTGTGGTAATGGGGATTAAGTCCCAGGCTTCACTCCGAGCTATGTCGCCAGCCACATCCTGCCCCCTTTTTTACTTTCTATTTTGAGAGAGCCAAGACCTGCGCTGAGCTCTGACTTACAGTCCTGCCTTGCCTCTGACAGTGCTAGGATGACAGGTGTGCACCACCAAGCCTGGTTTAGGCAGAGCTTTATGCTACATCCTATTTTAACTTCTTACAAACTTCATGAATACTATTATCATTTCATATGTTAATAAAAAGAACTTTAAAATCTTCTAATCCACATTAGTACTGAACCTGGGTCAGGTACTCAGTTCTTTAATTTCATATTCCAAGTCTTTAGCCACATTCAACTCCCTCTTTCCTCCTTCACTCTGAGTTTCCTCATCCACCAGGTAAGCACAGTGATAACACTCAGAGTGTCAGCAGGATGATAGGGATCATGTATTAGGCATTGCATAATGATCTCTTGTAAAACTGGCTACTCACTATTGCTGCCCTGGAGTTGGTATTGACAACAGCAGCCCATATATGACCATTGTTGTCCAGAGGGTAACATTAGCTCATTTTTAAATTTTTTTTCCATAATTTTATTGAGAAACAAATAGCAATGAGACAGTTTCAAATCAAATTGGTAGGACAGTTTCAATAATTAACACATGCATACATTCTTCCTAGTGGTTAATTGCTGTACAAGATGCGGACATGATATCCTATTTACAAACACCATTAGAACAAATCCCTCTATTCATTAAGAGAATGCAACTATATATCTATCCTAACCAATTTAAATATACAGATACAAAATGGACATTCATCTGTATACCCTTTTTTGGTTAAGTTCCCTTCTTTGAATATTATAGGTGTATAAACTCAGCAAAATATTCTAAAGGAGTCCAGTGGTCTATAATAGTGTTGGGTCTTCCGCTTGACTGGCAATGTCAGAAATTGTTGACCTGAGTCCCCTACAGTTCAACATAACAACATGGCTTTACTTCTTATATTTTGTTTTTATACTTTTCTGCTGGATGGTTAAGACCAAGGTAAAACAGGACCTATGCAACAAGAGTTGTAGCTTTTGGGTCTGATAAAGTCATTAGCTCATTTTTAACAAGAATATGTAATGCTCACTCTCTTCTTTGCACACACATTTCTGTGAATAGAACCAAACCCCACGGACTTAAGTCTAGTAAAATGTTTGTAGCTTCAGAAGGGCCAAGCATGGACTCAAG